CAAAGTCAGCCAGCTATATCACATGCATATTCTATTGGAGCAATAGATCACCTTTGTAGGCTGCCTGTATCATAACCAGAATGTTTTATTGAGCCACTAATGCATTTTACTGTTTATGGGAAATGTATATATTGACTGCTGGTGAAGAAGCAGGTGCAAATATTTCTCATGTCCATGCTTTTTTACTTGCATCCTATCCCAGTTTAATAATAATTGAGCTGTGCATTACTTGGACAAAATGTTAAGAACCCCCTGACAATCAGATTCTGGGGGTCATGCATGATTTGCCCAATACGACAAGGCAGTGACTTTTGGCAGCATAGTGAATGTACCATCCCAGCTCTCTCAATGAGTGGTGGTAATGGTGGTTGTACAGTCAGCACTGGTGCTAGATTTGTCTAGACATAGTGTTATACCCATCCAACTTCACTCACTGTGACTGAAAACAAGCAAGATTGAACATTAAATAAATCAGATCTTTTCATTGTCCTCTTTCAAATTGACAGTCCTCCATATATGCTGCTTTCCATATAAAGAACATCTAGTAGACTGGCCCTGGGGTAACTGGATCTGATATTGCACCCAATACCTGCTCATATTCATTCTAAAAGCAACCCATCTCCATGGAAGAGGGTGATCTCACTGGAGAATATGGTAGTTTCGGTGGCAGTAAGTGTCCTTTTTCTGCAGTATTTGAAAGTTTTGGTAACGTCCTAAGTTTTGCTGGGTCAAATAGAGTGAGTTTTGTCTCTGAGCTGTGCAGTGACAACTTAACCAGACTATACTACATGAAATGTTAAATGGGACAGAGTTGTCTAAGTCATATTCTAGGGTTTTGTCCAAGAAGGTAGAGTCTATAAATTAGATGGTACTTTAGTGAACTGAATTTGGAGAAAGCATCTTTTTATTCTGCCTTAATGGGGGCTAATCCTAGGAGCATGCCAATAGACTACATTTGAATTGCCAAAATATCTTATTCTCCTCCGCATTGCACACGCACAAGTATTACATAGTATGCTGACTTTCAAACCTAAATTGTACATTTGGGGACCACTATATTGGGACGTTGTATAATCATGTATTAAACAGTAGAAAGAAACACTTTTTAATTGTACCTCTCCCATCTAATTCTTGTTCTTATACAAGCCAGGAGATCCGTAACTGTGAACCCAGTGTTTATATTATAAATCTTAATAAAAAAAAAAAATCTACAGACTTTTAAACATTCAATCAATTTTTGAAACCTCTGCATATGTTGACCAAGTGTTATCAACTAAAGTTGGTTTGGGCGACAATCCGTGTTATAATAATAATAATAAAAAAAAATTACAGTAAAGTTATTAGATCTTAGTGTAGAAAAAGCTGTCTTGCATGGGTAGTGATACAGTCCAACAACCGAATGGTTTAGTATAGTAAAATTATTGAATGAGTGTTGTGAAGCCTTAAAGACTATGTCTACAAACTGCCATTCTTCGTTTTGGAAGTCTCGACCTCATCTTCAATAACAGGATGAATGGTGGATCTTCGTTCTGCTAGCCATGGGCAACTGGGCTGGTAAATGTTTCATCCCTGCTTACATTGTAAAATTATAAGGGCAAATGGTGGCGAAATATTAACATAGAACATCAGTATAATAAACAACCTCGACGTGTGCGTAGGTAATGAACCTAAGAGTTGTAATGGATTGTGAAAAGTTTTGTATTAACCCATTAAAAATGGCAGACTTATTTAACTACAATGAATCATCCACTGAGGTTGCATCCTGCAAGAGGGATATGTTTCACAATCATTTTGTTTTTTTTTTTCTAGTCAAAGACACAAATTGGCAGTGGTGGGAATGTGGGTAAATTCTGCCTGTGTATTGTCCCCTCAAAGAACATTTTCTTTAACGGATTTGAAACTCGGTCTATACCTATCCCTGCTCCCCAGTCTATCTAAATCCTCTAAAACAGGTGTGCTCAGAAGGTAGTAACCCTGATGTCGTAGAACTACAACTTCCATAATGCTTTGTATGCCTTTAGAATGACCAAGCATGAAAGCTGTAGTTTTAAAACATCTGGGGATCTACCCTCTGAGCACACGTGCTCTAGAAGCAGGGTTACAGTCTGTGATGACGTGTGCATTAACAAGAAAAACCCAACCATTTTGAAACTGTATTACAAATGTAATTGTAATGTATGATGAATTGAAGAGTTATTCATTATATAATTTCTATTTACTGAAATGTGTCCCTACGTTAGGTTTAACAAGGAACTAAAGTGGATAAGAACTTTTGTATGCACTCTTAAGTATTTTATTTCCAGAGCTTGGAAGTAAGGCATTGAAATATCAAATAGTGGTGCTACTTGTACAGGACAGACCGAAGACTGGTGTTTTGAATATGCGTTTGTAAAACCCTTCTATACCATCTTTCTTGGGATGTGATACCATGTATCTACCATCATCTTTTGTAGAATATTATGTTTTACACAGGTTTCTGTGAATCCTTTCATCAGTCTATTTAGGGGGGAAATGGACTTAAGTTGAAACCAAATGAATCCTTCCTTTACAATCCTTGTGTTAATATTAATTCAGAAGACACTATAAAATTGGGCAATCTCAAAGGGTCCAGGTATAATAGTCATACCGACCGCAAATGGTCAAAACCATTATCTAATCACGATTGGTTGATGAAACCTATTCATAAGGCAGAGAAGGAATGGAGAATGCAAAGAAAGCTGCACATCATATTATTGTGACAAAAATAAGCCTTAAAATTGTGAATCTGTTAATTGGGTTTGTTTTTAGAAATGTCTCAGGGCTCCGATAACGTTTCTTTTCATTCCAGATCATCGGTCATCTATGGATCCTTGTAACACATGAACTTGTGTATGGACCAATGAAATTGAGGTTTCATATTGTGTTTTAAACACATTCATGCTGGCATCCAATAGGATAGCTCATAAGAACCCATATGTAGCACCTGTCACTTGATATTTCTTGGAGTCAAGCAGTCTTCCTTTGCCATTATGCCGGAGACACTCGTCAACAGTTTTGGAACAGAGATTGCTGGTACAACAAAAAACAAACAAATTAAAGAAAGGGGTCACCACAGAAATGTCTAAAAAAAAACTAAACACCCAGTGAAATGTAAATTAAAGGTAAGGGCACTTTTCAAGTCTTGTTTGTGAATGCTGGCAAACCTTGCCTTCAAACGTAAGCAATAGTGAAACTTGGGTGGACTTGTCTTAATGTATATTTGGACGGTTTGCTTTGTTACAGGCTGGTGCTAACACTAGCATATATCCTGTTCTGTATCCTTTTAGATATCCCCAGCCTTGTTAATTAGGGCGGTTAGATCACTCCTTCTCTGTGTCAGAAATATTAACTGCAGAGCTTCATTCAACACGGCAAGATGCATACTTCATCAGTATATTTCAACGTGGTGGAATGACCCTTAAACAAGGCAATATTCAAGAAATCATTAAAGGCCATTATCACGACTTTACCTTTCCCCGAATATGCTGGCACGGGCTCATACAATATTGTAACAGATGACGGATATATTGCTTTTATAATATGCGTAATCCCTGATATCTGTTTTCTAAAAACTAGCTTCAGTCTATTATATTATTGGGGGTTTTCTGCATAGAAGAAGGAAAAAAAAAAAAGTAATGATCTGGACCAGTGATGGACATTTTACTCATTGCACTAACTTACCTCGATAAGTGCACATTCATTCCCAGCCGTACTCACAGTAACTGAACGTGCCAAACTAACAATTACTATAAGGAATTTCATTAACATGCAGTCCATCTGTAATTACATACTCGCCGTTTCAACACTGTGACTTTACATTTCCAGTTATTTAAAGGAACCACAACATATATAGATATATATATAGATCTATAATCTATATGATAGCATATCGCAATATTCCGTTTTTAGAATGTGCAGGACTTTTATTCGTCGTCCTTTTGTGTTAAACTCTTTGAATTTGGTTTGCTTTTTATATACAGATCTACAGATTTCTTACTTCTTTCTCTTTATACTATCTAAATTACTTGCTTAATGAATGTGTTGAAGTAAAGCATATTAGATGGTTATGTAAGGTATACAGTGAAAAAGCAAAAAGCAGCGGAGTATCCTTTTCTTGTGTGTAGCAGGTCAGATAGTCGACCTTAGAATGTTACGAACATTACCCCGCAACTATCATACATGCAGCTGAACTTTACAAACACTTTATCTGTGTTTCTCTCTTTACCAAGACAAAAAACTAATTCAAAAGAAGGATAAACCGTTTATTTTTGAGTGAAGATAGGCCACACAATCACATTTTGTTTAGATCTTGCCTAATATAGAAGCTTCCTTTTTAAACCAAAATATCGTTACATAAAAGAGGAGAAGTAGAGAATATAGGGCTTTTTATTTATTTAGTTTTCTGTGTGTAAGGATTTATGGGCAGACCATTTGGCCCAAGATATGATAATTTCAATGAAAACACTTTAATGTTTTAGGTAAGGCTTGTGCTGTTTGTGCCTAAGGGTATCTGGAATTTATTTGACTCCCCTTACTCCAGAAACTCTAAATCCTAGGCTTAAGCCATAGAAGATGGTAAGTCCCATTCAAAAAAAGGCCATCTCGAAGGACTTCCAAATATTTGCTTCTGTGTTTAATTTTTTTCTTTGCACTAAGTTTTTATATAGGTCAAAAAACAATTGTCAACGGCCAGGTATGTACAAACGTAAGACAATTTAAAAATATATTATTATGTGTAGATCTTTTCCCACCCATTTTCTAGTAAAAGCTTCAATCCGTCGAATGAATCTTTATATTCATTCGGCCAGACGAATATTTATAATCAAAGTTGTTCTCGAATAATGTAAACAGATTTTTTTTTTTTTTTTAAAGCAATTTAATCTATAGGAAATTATTCTTTTTCTGTACTTTCATTTGAAGTTGAACCGTGCTTAAACACCAAGTTGTGTTTTTTTTTATATATATATATTTTTTTTTGTGCTGATCCCCAGTTTATAGACTCCCTGTTTATTATGATGATTACTGAGCTGGGAAGGAAATCACTGAATATTTGTAAGTTTAAATATTGTTTTGGGTTAACAATAATCTTTTAAGGTGTCAGAGGGGTCTGTTATCGAAAAAGCCTCTTCATAGCCTTGGGGGTGGGGGGTAGGTTCAGATGGGCAGGATATTGTATTCTCTACATGCTTTGTAGCAAATATTTGACCATGCTTTCATGGCAGTGCTATATTGGCTGGGTTTCTTAAAAAAAAACTATAAAACATGAAAAAAAAAATACTGGAACAAAAACGTCAGATAAGTGCTGTAATTAAGAATTAAGCATGTCTGTCTTGATTTATTCATATTGGCCTTTCTCCCAATTTTATAGAAGGTCTGTAGCCATTCTAATCATTTGAGGTTGGCCTGACAACTCAATGACCAAATACCAGTCCTTTTGTCACTACCTGACACATACCTGAAGAAGGGAGAGCAGACAGGCTAGACAGTAATATCAGGTTTCTATAATGAAAAATAAAGAATAGGCCAGGGAATATATTTGTAATTAATTTGCGATGATTTATTCCAACAGGCAGAGTAGAATTGTCTGTATGACCAGCGATATTTTTTTAGTGCTTTATTACTTACGTTGGCCAAAGAAACCTTTTCATTCTTTGCTCGCCACAGGAATGAGCCATGGGTTTTTTATATCTTTGGTAATCAGACAGTTAACTGAGGATGTACACTGATATTTCAAATTCCCTTCAGGTTTGTGTTTTGCATCCTAGGTTTAATTGCAATATTGTGATTCTAGATTTCCATGGATGGGATTGGCCAGATGATTGCTTCGATGCACATAGAGCCGCCCCTTTGATAAGCGCCAAGCTTATTAATGTATATGACTGTTGTTCCTGATATTATTCTTGTTGTTCTAATAACTGTTCCTGTATAAGCACATTCTGTACGTACTGTAACAGAAAAAAATGGGGTTAGTGACGATTTAGAGTCTTAAGGAATTTTTTCCACTTTTGTCAGTTACAAATATTTATGGATTAAAAAATAAAGTGATTTAAACAAACCCTGGTCGGTGGTCTTTGATTAGTAAGGGTAAATTGCAAACATCTATGTCATCTAACTGCTCTACATTGTAGGAAGAAGATGTTGATGAACGTGAAAGGATTGGACAACATACAGGGACATAGCGCCCAAGAGGTAGCTCTCACAAACTGTTATATCAAGTTTTCTAAGTTTAATCACTGCTAAAGACTGCCAAGTATGGTAACTGTATCTTAACATCTACGGGGTTATCTTCTAGTTAATTCTGGAGAATATTGTGACTGGGAACTGGAGCCTACAAACACAAGCTAAAATATTGTCATTAATGTTGCCACACTCTCATAGCAAGGGAATTACAAAATTTGGAGTTGGGTTTAAGTAGAAGGGGGAATAGCATGAGCGGAAAGACCAGGAAGCAAACAGAGGTGTGAGAGAGAGATGAAAATGACAGGGAAAAAAAGATAAATAGGAACTAGGCAGGTAGATAAAATGCACTTGATGGGGAAAGATGCTGGGTGATAGTGTTAACGTTATCTGTTGAGAGAGGAGACAAGATTAAATAGAGGTAAAATGGATAAGATAGTTTGGTTGGAAGGTAAGTGTAGGAATGAATGATTGTAAACAGGGCTGTATTATCAGTACACATAACCTCTAACTTCAACTCCTAAATTTATGGTTCTCCCGACTCTATTAACCCAGAATAGTTCCCGATTCCACAATTCCAACTCATCTGCACTAGTAGGGCTGTAGTGTAGGTTCACAAAACCTTTGAGTGATTGTAAGCTACTCGGAAAGTGGGCACAAAGCATTTTTTTGTAAGGAGGACCAGAGAGCGAGAAACTGGGAAAGACTGGAAAATAAAATAGGATTGTGAGTGTGGGGAACGTGATCGCGAAAGTGTGTGTAAGGGCATAATAAAAATACTGAGATACTAGGGAGAAGTTAGGAACAAAAGATTACAGGGAACTTCGAAATACAAATTGTGTATTCGTCAAGTACAACATAAAATCTGATGCAAGCCATTTGCATGTTCACAGGCTTCACAACTGTGTTCCCTGTACTCTATGTTAAATCTTTGCACATACTAGCTGCCTCAGTACCTGAGACTACCAAGAGCCGGCAGTGTCTGTCAGTATGGTAAATTGGTGTACCAGAGACTGGTTAGATAACCCTATGCTAGTCTGTCACTCTTTTTGAGTTCTGCTTGACCACTGGGATTATACAATGGGTGTAAACACATGTTAAAACTACATTCTCCCCTGGGGTGAACTGACAGATGTAAGAGGAAGTCAGAAAACCACCTAGCATACGATGTCTCTAGCTCTGGGCATCTCATTTAGTGTCAAAACCATATCTAATGTTGAAACCGCTCCGTTATTACAGCCTACCCCCTGCTGCTTCCAAATGTCTCCTGTCACTGGCAGACCCACTAACAGCATCGCAGAAGGTGACATTGGCCAAGAGCAAGATAATGAACATGACAGCTCGGGTGGGGTTGAGGGGACCAGGTAGCCTGGTACTTTGATGTGATTTAATAAGAGCATGATCTGTTCTAGCTGATGTTAAATGTGAATTTTCAGGTATGTTTTATCTGTAGAGAGGAGGTCTGCATACAGATGAATTATTTGTGAAATTATGTTCAAAGTAAGGAAGCAGTAACTCTGCAATTGATTATCTTTTACTTTAATTGACCATTCTTTAAAACACAGGAAGGCAACCTTCGACATTTCAGATGTTGAGATCTACATCCCTCATAATGCTCTTGCAGGCATAACGCTGGCAAAGCATCAGGGGAGAAGTACCGTATTTTCCGGCGTATAAGACGACCCCCAACGTTTACAGTTAAAATATAGAGTTTGGGATATACTCGCCGTATAAGACTACCCCTCTTCCAACGCACACCAAATAAAAATTTAAAAAAACACCTGTGTCCTCCTTACTCACCCTCCCATGTTCTCTTTACTCCCCCTCCCTGTGTTCTCTTTACTCCCTCCTCCCTGTGTATCTCTTTACTCCCCCTCTCTCTTGTGTATTCTCCTTATTCCCCCTCTGTTATATCCCCCTCTCTCTCCTTATATTCTCCTTATTCTCTCTTATCCCCTCTCTATATTCTCCTTATCCCCCTCTCTATATTCTCCTTATCCCCCCTCTCTGTATTCTTATTCCCCTTCCTCTATATTCTCCTTATCCCCCCCTCTCTGTATTCTCCTTATTCCCCCCTCCTCTCAGTATTCTCCTTATTTCCCCAGTTTGTTCTCCTCACCTCCCCTGTAGCATGGCCGAGTTCCTCTCTGGTGCATGGTACAGGAGCTTTTGTTTCCTGTACCCGGCCAGACTGAGAGGAAGTGCACACTAAGTGTGCACTTTCTGTCAGTTCGGTCGGGCACCACTGACCGAAGAGGAGCTCGGCCACGCTACAGGGGAGGTGAGGAGAGAGGCAGTGCTGCAGCCGCCTGAAGCTCTCTATAGAGAGGCTGCCTAGTTCGCCTTATAGGAAGCACCGGCTCTGCCCGCCCTAAAAGACGACACCCGGCATATAAGACGACACCCGACTTTTGAAAAGATTTTTCTGGATTAAAAAGTAGTCTTATACGCCGGAAAATACGGTAGTCCAAAATGTCTGTAGTGCCAAAGGTTGCTGTTAAATTTCAGTAGTCTATTCCAAAGGGTAGCTGATGATTCTTCTATTTGTGGTTTCTCAAAAGGTACTAGTGGATTCAGGGACGGCGCCACCGTTTGGCGAACTAGGCATTCGCCTAGGGCGCCGGCTTGCTGGGGGCGCCCACCTGGATGTTTCCTGGTGGGTTGCCTGTCCCTGTCTCGGGCCGCAGCGCTGGGCGAGCGGCTCTTGAGCCAACTCTAGTGCCGGGCCGTTCCTCAAGGCACCCAAAGATGGGTGTGCCGAGAGGCGCCCTGTCACAGGGGGCCCAGGAGGTGGCCATCTGGTCTCCTCAGGGCACCCCTGAAGCTGTATTAGGTAATGCAGAGCAGGCACCTGCTTACCTTGATGGCAGATGCCTGCTCTGCCAAAAAATGCCGGTGACCAGAGGAGAGGGGGATGGAGCAGGCAGGCAGCGAGGGAGGCTGTTCTTGTAGCCTCTCACTTCTCCCTCGCATGCCCTCTGCGATACTGGGAGACGGAATATGACTCATTCCGGCCCCGGCATACAAGACAGTGGGCGGGAGGATTGAGGAGCTGGGAGGGAGGTGAGTGTTTGACTGTCAGTGAGTGTGTGTGTGTGTGTGTGTATGTGTGTCTGTCAGTGAGTGTAAGTCTGTCTGTCAGTAAGTGTCTGTGTGTGTGTGTCTGTCAGTGAGTGTATGTATGTCAGTGAGTGTCTTTGTGTGTGTGTGTATGTGTCTGTCTGTCAATGAGTGAGTGTATGTCAGTGAGTGAGTGTGTTTGTGTATGTCAGTGAGTGTGTGTCTGTCTGCCTGTGAGTTTGTGTGTCTTTCAGTGAGTGAGTTTGTCGGTCTGTGTGTGTGTGTGTGTGTGTGCATGTCTGTCAGTAAGTGTATGTGTGTGTGTGTCTGCCAATGTGTGTCTGTCAGTGAGTGAGTGACATGAGGGGGCGGCAAAATGGATCGTTGCTTAGGGTGGCAGAAATCCTTGCACCGGCCCTGAGTGGATTCACCAGTAGAAATGAATTAAATCTGACAATTTCTGCAGCTCAAAGGAGGACTCTTCCCTTGCGCAGGTTCTTAATCAGTAGATCTAGAAGGAATCCGTAGATTTAGAAGGAAGCAAATAAAAGTTTACGAAATAGCAGCCCCTCTAATCCTTTTATGTGTTGATACCAGTCAGGAATTCGTAATTACAGGAGACTGGGGGGATTTCTTCAAACACTTTTCCTTTGGTAAATCAACAGATATGTGTGAAAAACACTGTTGTAACTAATGTTTTCTTATACATAATGAGAATATTGTGAGGCACTTTGTCCGTCATTGTGATTGTATGAGTTGTCCTATGTCTGTCATATTGTGAGAATTGCAGAAGTCCAGCTAATTCAATTGCATCACAGTAACACCATCACATCAACCATCTACGTGTTGGTGAAAATTGTATTTAAAGGGAAGAAGCCAGAATGCCTAAACAATGTCATTCAGCAGTGAAAATGTAACATTTATAATGAATGTAGTTTAACTTGTTCATTTTAATTCTCTTCATTTTTTTTTAATTTGTGATAGCACAATCTTTACAGTCTTGTGTCTGTCTTTATATCCCCTCTGCTCTATAGAACTGAACACAATACTCTAGGTGAGATCTTACCAAGGATCTATAAAGTACTATCACTACCTCTCTATGTCCTTCTGGCATCTGCTCTATAGAACTGAACATGATACTCTAGGTGAGATTTTATAAGGGATCTATAATGTACTATCACTACCTCTCTATGTCCTCCTGGGATCTGCTCTATAGAACTGAACACAATACTCTAGGTGAGATCTTACCAGGGAACTATAAAGTGCTATCACTACCTCTCTATGTCCTCTTGGGATCTGCTCTATAGAACTGAACACAATATTCTAGGTGAGATCTTACCAGGGATCTATAAAGTACTATCACTACCTCTCTATGTCCTCCTGGAATCTGCTCTATAGAACTGAACACAATACTCTAGGTAAGATCTCACCAGGGATCTATAATGTACTATCACTACTTCTCTATGTCCTCCTGGGATCTGCTCTATAGAACTGAACACAATATTCTAGGTGAGATCTTACCAGATATCTATGTAGTACTATCACTCTCTCTCTCTTTGTCCTCCTGGGATCTGCTCTATAGAACTGAATACAATACTCTAGGTGAGATCTTACCAGGGATCTGTAACGTACTATCACTACCTCTCTATGTCCTCCTGGGATCTGCTCTATAGAACTGAACACAATACTCTAGGTGAGATCTTACCAGGGAACTATAACGTGCTATCACTACCTCTCTATGTCCTCTTGGGATCTGCTCTATAGAACTGAACACAATATTCTAGGTGAGATCTCACCAGGGATCTATAATGTACTATCACTACTTCTCTATGTCCTCCTGGAATCTGCTCTATAGAACTGAACACAATATTCTAGGTGAGATCTTACGAGATATCTATGTAGTACTATCACTCTCTCTCTCTTTGTCCTCCTGGGATCTGCTCTATAGAACTGAATACAATACTCTAGGTGAGATCTTACCAGGGATCTGTATAATGATCCACATACTGTCCTACAATCATTATTTTTTTTTTCTGTTTGAACCATTGATTCAGAATAATGTACAGGAAGTACTGGTGACCCTTATAGGAAAGGATAGAGGCTCATTTTCTTTCTTACCTTTGAAGAATATGCCTGCTCTGTTAATGCACCGGAGACCCATCTGCTTCTGATCGCTGGTAAGTAGGTCATAAGAAGCTAATTAATTATGGTTTGTGAACACCTTCTTCTATGTTACTTGTTTACTTTATCCTTTCTGAGTTAAGGGATGCATGCATTGTGCTGGGTATCTGATTACACCATAAACCAGCAATATTAATTGTGTTATGTAATGCAGAACTGGGCTTTAAGTTAGAGTAATTTGAGGAACAAGGTGCCCTCAATGTGTTGCTTTGTCCGTGGTGCAATAAAGTTGTCCCGACTTTTCCGCTGTTGACTGTGGAACTGGGATATACTAGACACGTGGTGTGTTCCTCCGTTAATGTGCACACTTTCCCGGTAATCCTGCCCTCAGGATGTAGATTTTACAGGCCCGCATAGAATGTGGTCCCATAGAAGTGCTGTTATCTACGCTATGAAGTGTATGAATGAGACATGATTCTTTTTTGGGCAATAGAACCTTAGCCCTAGAAGGTGCCTTTTTAAAGTATGTCTCAAATTCAAATTATTAACATATCAAAAAAATATCAAATAATCATATTGCAAACGTTAAAATATCTTTTTCTTAATATTACATTTATTTCACGTTTTAACCAAAAATATTAAATGATTTGAAAAGTGTATCCAATAATATTAAATCAAAGACTATGTGACAAGATAGAAGCAATGTTTTACTCTACCCTCTGTCCTTCTGCTTCTCTGAGATTCTTGAAATAGGAAGCCGCGGACAGTTGAATCTGTGGCGGAGAGCCGAGCGCTTCAGATGACAATCAACCTCTCCTCATTCAAAAAACGACTTGAGGAACGTACGTTATTTTTCTCAAGCCGTTTTTATGATTGTGGGGCTACTGATTGGCTAAGAACGTCAGCTGGCCACTGCCTTGGGCTTCCTCTTTCAAAATTCCGAGAGAAGGGGACGGACATGGGCAGAAGTAAATAGGAGCGATGTCTGCTAGGTACCATAACAACTTCATTCTGATTAAGCTGTTATAATGCCATGAGTTTTCTTTAATGTGAAAAAAAACAGCATGAACATGACTCTAAAATCTATCAAATGCAATCAAGGCAAGGAAGTTATGTTGGAGTATGACTGGAGTTTCTTTTTTTTTTTGTCATCTTTATTTTACGTGCATGTGTGAAATGACAAACATTCTTGCAATGCCCCAAAGGAAAAAGCAAGAGGAATATTAGACATTACATAACAGTGTGAGGCATCCACGGTCACTGCACATTTTTTTTGTTTTAAGAAATCAACAGCAGAATGCAGGCTAGGCTGTACATGCCTAACTAACAGTCGTGATGGGAGCGCGACATATTCTGGCTAGAAAGCTATAGCTAAACGAGAGACAAATCTGTAGATTATGGGAGAAGTGGTCAGCCAGGCATGAAAAATGAGAACTAAACAAGCCTCAGCGGTTAAACAGTACGAGTCTCTCCGCCACTGTGGAGGTGGAACGTGAACTCTGCACAGAAAGGAACAGGTAGATTGTTAATACTCCCCTTTTGTACAACACTTAGGGGAACATTGTATAGTGCTTACATTTTTTTATTGCAACATTCCATTTTATAGGTTTTGGGAATAACCTTTCATTACTGCTTTTTACATTGCAATTGTTTAGTTTGATTTCTTTCACTCTGTTTATTTAATTGTTTTTATTTATATTTATTTTTATTCTGGTTGCTGAAACCTTTTGGAGGGTCCCTGAGGAAGCCTTTTGGGGCGAAACATGTAGGATTACTCCTAGCAACTTATTTTTGTTTTGTTCATAGTATTTTTATATTTTAGTGATTTTTTATATATATTTTATATAATAAATAGCAGTTATTTTTATACCTGATACCTGAGTCCTGCTTTCCATACTCGTAACGTCATTGCTTCAGGAAGAAGGCGGTCTGGATTAGCCCCACCCCCCCCATATATTGGGGGAGGCACCCTCAAGCGATTTATTCTACTTTATCCTGTGAGTGCTATTTTATTTTGTGCCATTATTTTATGTTAGTGTTACACTATATATGTGCCTTATCATATAGCTAGGATAGCCTTATGCCTATCCCACGCATGCTTAAACTCCCTCACTGTGTTAACCTCTACCATTTCAGCTAGAAGGCTATTCCATGCATCCACTACCCTCTCAGTAAAGTAATACTTCCTGATATTTTTAAACCTTTGCCCCTTTAATTTAAGAATCTGTCTTCCTGTTGTGGTAGATTTTCTTCTTTTAAATATGGTCTCCTCCTTTACTGTGTTAATTCCATTTATGTATTTAAATTTTTCTATCATATCCCCCCCTAAAGCAGTATAGTTTAGCAGTGCTATTGGTGTGCCAAGTAGGTACATGACTATTGGTATGTTAGCTAAGTGGCAAACTAGTGAGTCAGAGGGTTGTTGCAAGTTTATTGTGCAATGCTAAACTGTTATAAAAACACACTGGAGCAAAGCCTGATTACTGTTTACCAGCTGGAAGATTAGTGTAGAGGGCAGCAGTCAGAATTAACTGTAGTATAAGCATGAGCCTCCTGCCCTGATTCCACAGGTTATTACCCTATACCAGGCATAGGCAACCTTCAGCACTCCAGATGTTGTGGACTACATCCCCCATAATGCTGGCAAAGCATCATGGGAGGTGTAGTCCAAAACATCTGGAGTGCCGAAGGTTGCCTATGCCTGCCCTATACCCATGTTGACCAGCCTAGTGGCAGATGGAGACAGTGTCCCGGTAGTCCAATTTTGGCCCCAGGCCTTCTCAAGAGCCCATGTGCAGGTCCCATCGCTACGGACACTATCAGCTCTGCTAGCGAGGTCTCGGGAGGCTGTAAGGTGGTGTTGTACCTTCCAAGTATGTGGAGGTAGGCAGCAGGGTGGAGTTTCTTTTTAAGGCATCTTAATGAAGTGCAAAATGTCTTCACCCTGTAGCCTAAGTGTTGTGTGTCTTAAAGAATTGTTAAAATTGTTTATCTAGCTCCACAATAGTCACAGCTTGGTTACTTTAGCATACATTTTGCAATTTGGTTATCTCATTACAGTTTGGACTCGGAGCTTAGTGAATAAGAACATTGCAAAATACCTTATATTGAAAAAAAATCTGCTGCCGTCATAGCTTGACTCTTTTAACATTACTGTAGTTGTGTGTCCTGCCAGAACTGCAAAGCTAGACACTTTTTTTTGCCTAAATTTTGCAGTTTGCTTTGCAATTTACTACAATTCCATATTAAGGGAATTAACCATTAATTCTATTCACAGAGCGAGATTCTTAAACCGTTTTCTTTATATCATTAAACATACACGTGAAATACACGTTAAACATTGCAGTGACTATGAAGATGGACAGCATTGATTCTTCTTTAAAAAATAAATAAATTAGAGTAAACCCATGTCAACCCGCAGTCTGCCCTTTCCTTGGCGTATATTCAAACAGTTCTGGGATGTGCTTACCCCTTTTCCTGTACATAGATAATTAAATACATATTCGGATTTGATTTGAATGAAGCTGTTTCAAAGCAGAAATTCAGGTTCCCTATTTGCCATACTGTCTGGGGAGGAGTGAGGGGGGCATATTAATGTTAAACAAGGTCTAGCTTTAGCTAATATCTCGGACTGTGTTTTATCAGTGTGATTTGTCTATAATTATAAAGTTTTGAATCATCAACTGTTCGTAAGTCACTCGGCCTATCTCAAGAGGATGCCCCAGTGTGAGTCATCAGATTGCCGCGTCCTCTACTTAGCTTTTAAAGATCTACAAATATATATATATATATATATATATATATATATAAGTTAAAGACGCAATCATCTGAGATCTGTAAATATCCAAATCCATTCTGTGTCAGAGAGCTAGTCAAGCTGGGCACATAATTCACCTGCCAACTGGGTAGATTACAAACTTCACTCAGAGTAAATTGAATAGGGGAGAGGTGTAGGTATTTTAGACAGAGAGGATTAGTAAGTAACTCACATTCGGCCTGCGCTCGTGCATTTGTAATACCGGATTCCGAGAGCGTCGAGATGGATTTTATTGAGTCATCGCTGAAATTTAACTGTTACATTGTGTCTGCCTGTTCCAAGTGTCAAATTAGAGTTTTAGCACATCCACGATTATAGCAGAGATACATTGTAGCAGCTGTCATCACAGGGAGCAGGTGCTACAAACGCACACATGTTGTGGACAAATCAATGATGTTTAGAATTTTTTGATATGTTTATATCCTTCTTTGGAGGTTTTCCAAGGTTCGAAGAACCAATATTTTATATACTTTAAGGCAAAACTTGAGAACCCAGCAGCCCATTATCTCTTTACCTCTGCGCTGATTGGGCTAGTAAGTAAGCATCAGCCTGAGCAGCAGTGGGTGGCTGTGCTTGGTTGAGAGTGTCAGCAGACCACTTCAAGCCTATCACAGCGCCCATTGCTGGTATGAACTGGTATAGCTAGAAGGAAGTGTGTAATCTCTGCTTTAGCCACACCTTCAGTGTGAGCTAGGCCATGGGTGACCAGGGTCCCTTAATCCAGTTAAACTTGCTAGAAAATGATTTAACACTGAATGGAAGGACAGTGCCAGGGGTCTTCATGCACTATAACTAATTCAATGAGAAGAATTAGTTGCACAGTGTCCCTATAATGAAAGGAATTGCATTTTCTAAGTTTTCTATTGCCCTGACATTACAACCTACCCTGATTCCCCTATCTGCCGCCTGTTAGGATCTCCTTAACTCTATTATGGCATAATTTTCGTCCAGATGGGTAAATTTTCAGGCACTCCTCACTTAATGACCAGGTTCCATTCCTACGGCTCTGTCGTAAAATGAATTAGTCGGTAAGTGAGGATGCGCTAACAAGCATGCGCAAGAGAATTCCCCCGAACGTAGAACAGTTCACTAGCGCAGGAAATCCCACAAATCTATGTCATAAAAGAAGTAGGTTCAAAAGTGAGGACCACCTGTATTAGAATGATGTAATTGATTGGTCTTGTCTAAAAGGTTGGTTTTTTTGTGTGAAATATGACCTGATTTCCTTCGTCACTATAAGGATGGAAATCCTGAGCACAGTAGAATATTTCTCTGTGAGGTTTGGATTGGTATGACATCAATGCATTATATCTTACTTTAATTGTGGGACTTAGAAATTAAAAAGTAACATTTCAAAAATGTAACTACTACAGCTTGTTTAAGTGTTTTATGCTGCAACATGTCTTTGGACATCATCCCCCCATTTTTTTGTGAAATGATTTTTGAGCAATTTGACAAAAAAAATGGTATTCTCATGACTCCCAAAGGCACGTCACTTAATGTGCAGGTTTTACTACAGCATTTTCTTTCCAACGATGGACATCTGTAATGGGCAGCAACGTTTTTTGGCAATATTAAAGGGACACTTCATTGCCAGATACAAAAAGAAATTCACAATTTAGTAGGTATATCCCCAACTGAAACACCCATGCATTTAATAATGCATTTTTCATTGGAGTTCTATCTAAAAATAGCTTGCAAAAGCTGCAGATCTATTGGTTGCAGCCTTTGCAAGCCCTCCCCTTGTAACCCCAGCAGACGTTCTGTGGCTGTCCAATCACAGACTTCCCAATGCACTTAAATGAGAAGTCTTTGCAAGGCAGGTGCTCTGACCAAATGTATTTTGTACTATATGTGTTCTCACCCATTAACAATTCTAACTGTTAATGAAGGACTGATATCCAAGATACTTTTTGATGGAAGTTTAAAATAAAAAAAATAAAGGGGAAAAAAAACGGAAAATAAAGCTAAACTACATCAAAGACTTTATTCTCCAATTTTGATTAAAACAGATTTAAAGGAAAAAGTAAATATTGTAAATCCCAAGTTTTGATTCTGAATACCTTTTCAAGACAGATGTTTTACTGTCCTTAATGAGCACACCTCTTAAGGGAAAAACCTGGAGACGTCTGGGATCCTTTTTAAAAATCTTTTTTTATTTTTTCATTTCCTTTCTCTTTTTTTTTTATCCTTTCCTTTAGAAAAACAAAGCTTTTATTAAAACTGAAAGACAACCAGAAGATGGGGGAGATTTGAGCAAGTTGTTCCCCAAGTACCTGACTTACTTCACATTTCAAAGCGAGAAAATTGGATATTAATTAGCAGAGCTGTAAAGTCCTACTTAACTCCAGGCAGCCTGCAATCAGCCAGTGGGTTAAAGATGGATATTCTATTATTATATATAGCATATGGTTTGCTAACTACAATAATTAACTGATGTGTGTTCGTACGGACACGTCCATAACCACATCAAGAAAACCTATAATTTAATGACTTTCTATTAATCTATCATCAATTAATAATACAATGTCTGTATAAATACGTACAATACATACTTTAAAAGATATGGAAAAATTTGTGTGTGTATATATATATATATATATATATATATAATATATACATATATATATACACATACATAAAGTACGTGGGGCTCTAATCCTGGGCAGCATTGGGACATACATGCCAGTTTGGCTGAGATTTGGGGGAGTTACATTCTGATGTGGCACCTGCTGTGAGAAGAGCAGCTTACTCCACTGCAACTTCCACTGTATAGTAACACTAGCACTAGCACTGCACATTAACCCTTGCCGTACACTAACATTAACCCCTGCAGTGCACTGCTTGCAAGGGCCGGCTCTACCGTAAATCAGATTAGGCATTCTTCTGGAGTGCTGGCCAGGGGTTCCCCTGCTGCATGGAATATTGACCCACTGCCCCCTAGCAAAACCGTGTATGATCTGCACCACACACACAACATTTGGCCTCTTTAGAAATGCACATACACACACAACATCCATCCAATCCCCATATACATAACACTGTATGCCAACTTCCTACTCAACACGTACCCTCTTCACAACATTCGGTCAACTTTCACACACATATACATATACGTGTGTGTGTATAAATATATATATATATGTGAGCACAGAAAGGCTGGGTTCAACTAGACGTGCAACAAAAACAGAGTATGAGAACTCTGAGAACGGGCAAAAGCTTAGAGAAACTCTGTAGCTTCCCTTCCGTTAGTCCCTGCTCGGGTCTCAAAAGTGTTTCTGCTCACCTGTGCCATCTCCTAGACATGCATGCATTATAAAAGTGCTGCTCGGACCGATTGATACAGTACACAGAATCCAACTCATTCACTGAAACACCAGCTTTAAAGCTCACAGAATTTAATCTTTTTTTTTTTTGGTTTGGTTTTAAACATGGGATAAATTTGCTTCGTGGCAAGCCCTAGGGAAAAACAATGTGGATTTACTTAAAGTATATGATCAGACATTAAAAAAGTCAGGTGCTTAAAAAATAAAATAAATACATTGTGTAAACTTTGATGTTGGTGTTTAGTGTGTGTGTGTGTTGTGCATATATATATATTGTCATCTGGGGGAGAAACCTGTGGGAAAAATCAATGATAAAGGAATATTTATAAAAAATTTTAAAGGGAATTCTCATATGGAATGTCGGATCAGGACAGAGTTGCAGAGCCAGGAATTCCCGTCAGATTGGGGTAGCCAGTCTTCTCTCTTATGCAACCTTTTTAGTACCAACAAATTTTATTTACAGAATTGCAGAACAACATTTACATCGTAGAAGACGTATTGACACGATCAGTATGACACAAAATGAACTCAAATCCTCAATACA